AGCTCACAGTAACAGTTGCACCAATGGATAAATGAAATGTATTTGATTTGTTTATTACGGTACTGTTTATGGAGAACATGTAAATAACCGTCTCTTTTTCATAGAACATTACGATCTCTAGTATTGTTGTACTTGCAAAAAAATTCATTGATATCATTTTTTTTATTCGTTAATCATTTGAGAAACATCCACATCTATCTCAAGATCCATATTCGTAATGCTTTCTCCATCAATATCCGTAAGTTTTTCATACACCGTATGTTCAAGCTCTTCAGATTCTATAACGTTTTCTTTTTTCTTGCAAATGTTGTTTAAAGTTTGATCTTCACGCTTAGTGATACGGGCCGATGCCAAATGCTTGGGCTGACCCGGCCGACAAAATTACTCGGGCAGGTCGACCGGGCTGGCCATATTATTAAAAAATTTTTAGTCAAACCAAAATCACCAAACAGTCATATAGAATGATCTCCTATCTGTAATTCGGTAATTGTTAAGTAATTTTCTGAACAAATTGCCATATCTCCAATAATTCCCGACAACCATGCTTGTGTTTTATGTTGGTTGACTGTCTCCCATCTCAAAATCCAACAATACACTATCTTTTCATTTCAGATAGTGTTCCCACAAAAAATTGTTCATCCCCGGTAATTTTGATCAATCAAAATTTAAGATCAGGTATCAAAACAAACGTCTAAGTAAAAAGTTACGTGTAAAATGAAAACCAAGAAAACCGTGTTATAGTTAAGGTTAGTATTAGAACAATATGGCGCCTATTAGTACAACGTCACGAGGAATATTTTTAATTAGGCCGCAGAAGGCGGTTTCCTAATTAAAATTTTGTAAAAAAAGTGGGTTGTTTCGATTTTTACGTTACACTTGATCCTGAAATTCAATTGGTCAAAATAACAGGGCTGACAATTTTTGTGGGAGAGCTAGGAGCAACTTTCTTTTCTTTGATTCTGACTTAATGATGGCCGAATCTATGATTAATTCCAATCTAATTTGAATAACTTAGCCAAAAATTCTGGCAACTTACATCAATTATCTCAGTAACTTACCTAACTTATCTTAGTCGACCCGCCCGCCCTGTGAAGGTGTGGGTCGACCCTCGGCCCGCCCGCTCGCCCAGCCGATGGGCCGGGGTCGGCCCGTATCACTAGGCTAGACGGCTTAGCTGACCAGCTAGTTGATGCCAAATGTTTTATTTCCTGGCTAATAAACCATAATTATTGCTTAATTCGACAGAATTATTGCAAGAAATAACCTAGCTGTCGTGTCACAGCAGGTTCTCTCGATTTTGATTGACTAAGAGCGACGATCAAAAATTTAGACCAAAATTTTACTAATAAATCACAGCTGCGCATTATGTGAAAAATGTTCCTGGACTAATTTTACTATACTATAGGCCTATTTTCATAAAAATTTTTATTTTTGTAATAAAAAGCTAAGAACTTAATTCCGGTCAATAATTAGTAACAATTGTAGCAGTTGACCCCAAACTCGAGAATCAGTTGTGGTAAAATTGGAACGACAGTATTTTTCGACCGTGGTAAAATCGCCACTCAAAAATGCTTCGATCATCACGTGACAAATAGGGTCTTTGCCTTGAAAATCACCTTCCGACATTTCCGATCGGGTCAATTCAGACAAAAATAAACCCGAGTACCAGTTCATGTTCATATGATAATCATCTTTTACTTTTATTGATTCAATTAGTGATTTGACCCGTCTAAAAAACCTTCACCCGGGTCACCCGTGCCTTTTCGGTTTTCGGAAGCTTGAAGCAGAGATATGTTGGAAAAATCTGGTTAGGTGCAGAAGTGCATCCATTAATACTAATTGAGTGAACATATTATCTAGAACCATGTGTGCGAGCAAGTGAAGTCAGATGTGTATAATTTAATTTATTGCTTAATTCTATTTATGGAATGACATTCTTCATTTCGATTCACGAATGACACGTGCCAATCCGGATCGACCTAAACTGCGTAACGACGCGGAACAAATAGACTACAAAACCTGCATTTCTTCCCGAAATAATATAAAATTTTATATGAAACTAAAAAAAGACATCCCTAGATATAATGGGCTTACATATCGTAGATCTACTTGCATGCAACTTTAAAAAATTATTTGTACATAATGTTCATGCTAAACTTGTAAACCTTAGGTCTAATGCTAACGCTAATACTAAATTTCCTATTTAGAAAAGATAATCATATATCGATATTGCACATTATTCTTAATTTGTTAATTTATTTATTATTGATTTGTTAGTGTGGTGAAAAAAAGATCCGGAAATAAGTTTTCACTGTGTGATAATCTTGCTATTTATAGCATTTGTTTAAATGAAAGAATAATTTAGCGTTAGTCATTATTTTTCCGGATCTTTTTCGGCCATGAGTATTAGGCATTTTATATATTGTGGGGTTTCAGAATTAAAAAGAAATAGCGTATTCCGAAAATAAGTAGGAGCTTAAAAAATCTTATTTGTATATCAAAATTTGGAAATCGAAAATGATATAATAGCTGTTTGTTCTTTTGAGAAAAAAGATTTCAAGCAGAATTCAAACCTTATCCCAGCTGAAGTATTTATGCGAGCCTTGAAACGATTCATGTTTCGTCAATTGCTAGCAGAAACTATACGAGAAGATCACCCTCTCTCGGTTTACTTGATAGAAACGACGACTATTTGTTGCTGGCCGGATAATATAAATGAAGATTTGATCTCAAACCTTTTCCCAATGTCACTTTTGATAAAACATACATATGCTGCATATCATTTTATAAGAAAGAAGATTGAGTAAATTATTACTTATAGATTATATAATTTGCAAATCTGGAATATATAATATTATTTTTTTATTCTTGCTTATTGTCTTGTGAATATGCCACTAATACTTTATGTTTTTTAGTTTAGATCAGTTTTGATTTTTCTTAGCAGTTTTATAGTTATTATTTTGTCACTATTATTAGAGATTATAAATAATACTATTTTAAAACACTATTATAAAACAAGTTATAGTATTGCTAAGATATGTATTGAGTAATTAAAAAAAAGAGCAAAATGAAAATAATTGTCAAAGTAAATTAAATACAGAATGAGCAAAGTAAGCTTCCCTTCGATTGTACTTAAGAAAAATAAAGGAGAGAGCCAATCAAAATAATCAACTAGATAGCTGCGCGACGTTGTCCGTAAAACCAGGAACGGAAAGCCTAAAAAAAAATAAGCTGTTAATTATCAACATGACTGCTGGATGATTACTTAACTCTTCAAAAGATTACTTTTTCGACAATCAAATCAATAAAATATGGCATTTATTTACGCTGATTTTCAGGGATGGCACGTCACAATGTCCAATTGGTTTCAATTTTTTTTGGGCATATGTCCAAAAAAATTGAAACCAATTGGACATTGTGACATACCATCCCTGCTGATTTTTATTATCGATATACAATATATCAGTCAGGTAATTATCTAAGTGTACAATACTGGTAATGATGAAAAATAACGATTTCGGTGTTTTTTATTGAAATTAATTCCGCTTCCATGTACAGCTACTAGTGAAATTAACTCTGATAGAAGAAATTTTCTGTCGTATAATTAATTATTGTTTCCACCTTTACAGTAAATAGCTATGAGTATGAATAAATTATTTTATTGATCTCCAATGTCACACCAAGTTAATTTATCATTATGCATTATCCTTCGGTCCAAATTTTTCAAAATTTCAATTTTATTTAACAAAGCAATTTACTTTATCATAAACAAAATAATGACATTTGATTTAAAATAATACTAATAATTATTATTATTATTTAATCAAAATATAAAGACATGCAAAAATTACTCAAGTCTAATTCAGAACTTTTCAGAATGGTTTCCTTTATGAAACCTGATTGGTTGAATCTACAAATTTCAGTATCATTAACATGGTTAAATAACGCTTTCATATTGCTGACAACTTTAAACATTCATATTAAATCTGTTTCCAATTTTGTATATTCACGTTTACGTGAAGATTGCACTAGGCCATCAATCACTAGTAAAAAAATTATATTTTAACTAAATAATGCCTCGTAATATATAGCTAGTATCGGGTTGGGTCAACCCAAACCCGACCTGAAATTTCGGATAATTTCTGGGACACCTGTAAAAATTAGCCGAATGATTTTTGGCTGATTCACATACCAATTTTATTGAATCTATTATGCTAAAATAATAAATTAACCAGATCGTCCAAAATTCATTTGGCTAATTTTTTACAAGTGTCTCAGGAATTATGAAAACGGCTGTAACTCGAACCGAACCCAACCCGACCTGAAAAATATTCAAATTAGAAATGCTCAAAATAAGCATTTTATATGTTTTTTTTTTGGTTCTAATAGCAAGTATATGTGTTTATAATAGCAGGTACATACATATTTTTAAACAATAGTTTAAATAAAACCTCAAAAGATAGACAAGTATGCACCAATCCCTATGAAAAAAGAAGCTGCTGATATATCCCAGAAGTGCTCCGAATTATTAGTTCAGGAAATTATCTGGTTTTTTGTCCCGAGAAATTCACAATTGCAATCAGATTCTTTTGAATAAGTGCCAGAAACTGATTATGTTTTTTTTTTGAAAAATCGAGCATTTTCCAGAATAATTAATAAAAACTTTATTTCCAGAAGAATTCCGAATACATTGCAACTTTTATTTTGCATTTATATTAAAAACCTGAATGTTTTTGGTGAACTTCACATGTTTGTAGGATTATAAATCAGAACGTTTTATGAATAAAAACTGTGTATAACTGCATATTTTGTAATTAAAAACCACAATACAACCAGGTATTTTGCAAATTTATTATATATGAATATATAATATATAATATATATTATTTATGCAATATACATGCATTATACATTAAAATAGCATTTTTCCAGCAAAAAAAACTAACAATAAAATAGAAACTACAATGCCGTTTACTTTCTATTTTCTAGTCCTTTTAGATTCAGTTTTCTTCATTACTTGCTTCTTAGTTACACATTTCAAATGTACCATTGCTACTTTTTTTTTACCTATATATTAAATTAGAAATATAGACAGTAAGATTTTAAAATAATAAAAAAGCCAAGTATTAATTATGATTTGATACCAGAATTATTTCCACTCTGTTGCACTTGTATTAATGGTTGATTACTAATGTCTGATAACTTTTCAAATGCTTTTTAGATCGTGTAATAGGTGCAGATAATTTAAATGAAGTGCTAATGTCGGTTTCTAGATGTTCAGATTCGACATCAATATTATTTTCAGCTTCATCATTGTCGGATTCGACTTTCTTCTTGGCTTGCTTTTTAGTTGCACATTTCAAATTTGTCATTGCTGCCTTTTTTTTTTATATTTATTAAATTATAAATATAGTACAGTAATCTTAAAATTATAAAAAACTAAGTATTAATTATGATACAATACCAGAATTATTCCCAATCTGTTTCACTTAATGATTACTAATGTCTGACAACTTTCCTTTAGATCATATAATAGGCGCATGTAATTCATGTGAAATATCATCATCTTCTGGTAATTCGAATTCAACATCAATATTATCTTCAGATTCATCATTGTCGAATTCAAATTTTTTCTTTGCTTGCTTCTTAGTTGCATGTTTTGAATTTGCTGTTGCTACCTTTTTTTTTCCTACATATTAAATTATTATATAGTATGATAATCTTAAAATAATAAAAAAAAGTTGAGTATTAAATATAGTTTAATACCAGAATCATTCCTATTTTGCTTTACTTGTGTTAATGGTTGGTTATTAATATCTGAAAATTTTCCAATTGCCTTTTTAGATCGTATAATAGGCGCAGGTGATTCCGATAATATAGGTTATCATTAGTTTCTTGTAATTCGGATAAGGATAATTCAGCGTCAATATTATCACCAACTTCATCATTGCCAATTTCAATTGGTGTAGTAATAACGCTTGAATTTGATAATGTTGGTGAAAGAGTTATTGCCACTCTCTTATTTCTTAAAGAAGGGATGATGTTTTTACGTTTTGGAGGAGGTGCAATGCCTTTATCATAGGCTTCTTGGATTTTTTTTCTTGCGTTCAGTTTCCACTATAACAAATTTCAAATATTAACTATTATTAGTTTATTAAAATTAAAGCAAAAAATGATACCCTAATTTCTAAGAATACTCTCAGAAATTTTTTGCAAAACGAAATCGCCAACTAAAACAGGGAATGTCAGAAATTCACGTTTAAACTAATGATATAATATATATAATTGTTAGTTATAATAAAAAACAATAATAATTTTATTACTGCAGCACGTACATCATTAATTATTGTTCTGATTTTGCCTGGAACCTGCTTTGATGCATACTTGCCCTTTTGGCAACTGGCCCCTAACCTGTCACATAGGTTTCTCTATATGTATATAAACAAAAGTAAAATAATTATCATGTGCATATGCATACAGATAGAAAAGATACAAAATTTACCAATATGTCCAGTATATATCATGCGATAAACGCAAAAAGTCCTTCCAACTTTCTCTGGTTTTTTGATTTTTCTCTATTGTTTCTACTCTTCTTTCGTAATTAGATTTTGGGCAGACTCTCGTGGAAACTTATCAAAGAAATTTTACTTAAAATCACATTTTTTTTTTTATAAAAAAAAAAAATTTTACCAATGTATTAACGACCCTAATAATAGCATTTAGTGCTGAAGTAGTTTGGGTCGTGGAAGTAAGAAATTGCTGTAAAGCTATCAGCTTTGACAATAACTGAAGAAGCGAAGCAACATTTGGGTTCGTTTCAAAAGCCATATTTTTATCCCCATTATGGTCATTTGCATTGTTTGAATTATCAGCCATATTTTATAGAAAAACAAGGTAAATATTAGTATTTAATTATTGTATAAACAAGATAAGAATAAAAAGGTCTTGAATTATTATTTTTTCTTAAAAGCCAACAACTCGATTGTTGAACCATTGCAGAGTTGGTGTAACAGTGATCAGGTAATATGATTTATCAGTTAGATCAAAATTTATACTTGTAGAGCTGATTTTTAATGCATCATATTATTACTGTTTTAGTATACGTAAATGATTGTTACATCATAGGTAAAAAATCATATAAAAGAAAAAAATCGTAAGAAGTGCTACAGTCAAAATGGTTTGCAATAAAAGTTGTTGTTCAAGATATGTGGTTTGTAGTGTAACAGTTAAAGAATTTCTAAATTAAGTGAATTAAAAAATTAGAGTTATTGGGAAAAAAAAAAGAATATTGTAAAGATATTTATTGCTTAGTTACTTTAGTCAGGTTCGAGAGGTCTTGCAATTATGTGAATCAATCACAAGCGCAAAATCAAATATGATGCATGAAAAATATAGTAATTGATGAAAGTCAGCTAGTAATTAAAGTAAAAGTCAAATATCGAAAAATAAATTATGTAATTAGTTAAGAGTCAAATTTTATGTATATAAAGAATATGAAAAAACAAATTCTTTCCTTTTCACTTTCAATCAAACAAATGCTAGCGTTAAAGTAAACCACACCTTCGTATTGAGAGGTTGGTGGTGCTGAAATCTATATTTATGATCAGTAAAAGCCGTGACAATAAATAAAAGGTTTACTATTTTTTAAAATTAGCATAATATTATCTGCATGTGTATATCATAAGACATTGTTGGAGGAAACTAGTAATCAATAATATATAACTTTGAGACTAACGTGAGTAAGTGAAATAATTATTGAAATTTTAAGAAGATTGTTATCTTTAATCTCACACCACTTATTTAAATAATTACTTTATAATACTTCAAATAAAGTAATAAGAAAGGTAGTTCTTTGTGCTTGTGTATTTTGCCGAAAAAAGACTGGTAATGCAGAAAAATTAATAAGCATCTCTTCGCAAACAAGACATAGACGATGAGAAAGAGAAATTTGAAGCCCACACATCCCATTAATTAATACGCAAATTTTAAATAAGTCTAGTGACGATATGCCAACTTATAGTATACTAGAAAGCCAAAACGAAAATATTTCTGAACTCATTTCGGATCTTTCATTTTCTACATTAAATCGTTTAAATGGTGAAGGAGCTGGTGAAATGGAGTTGGAACTTAGAGAAGAAATTGAGGAGATGGAATTGAAACTTGAAGATGAAATTGAGAAGATGGAGTTGGAACTTGGAGAAGAAGCTGATGAACAGCAATTAATGTCTTATACAACAATAAACTCTTTAGATGAGACTTCTGATATTTTAGCGGATATAGAGTTTGATGAAGATTGTGAACTAGGAGAAGGAAGTAGCAATGATAGATCTATTCCTGAAATCGGTAAGCTTTTAATAAGAAGCCTTATTTGTATATAAATATTAATATACTTTTTTTTTTTTTAAAAAAAAAAAAGAATTATCAGCTGATATAATTAAAAGGCTTCGTCTTCTTTATGTTAAAAACAAGTATTCTTTAACAGATCAAGCTTTTAAAGAAATTATGAAAATATTTGGGCTTTCAGATATTTCTTTCTATAGACTTTGAAAACTTTTTAGTAATATAGTTCCAATCAAGCCAACACTTGTAGATATGTGCTGGAATTCTTGTTGTATATTTAATAAGAACAATTCTAGTTGTGAAGTGTGTCCTATTTGTGGAAAACCGTAATATATATTAGAAAAAACACACAAAACAGCTTGTAAATCTGCAGCTTATTTTTCAATAATTGATAGCCTGAAAATGCAATACAATAATTTAGAACGTTCAAAAATTCTACGATATCGTCACAAATATATATCAAGAATAGAATACTCATCTAAAAATGGTAAAATAGGAGATATCTTTGATGGTAACTGTTATAAATCTTTGGCTGCATCAGGACTATTTTCGGATCCTCGTGATATTGCTTTTACTATATCTGTAGATGGTTACCAATTGTTCAAGCAGAAGCGGAATGATTGCTGGATTGTTTTATTAATAAATGCGAACCTACCTCCATTTCAAAGAGTGAAGAAAGAAAATTTGATAATAGCTGCGATTATTCCAGGGCCAAATTTACTAAAAAATTTAAATAGTTTTTTACGGCCGCTGATAGATGAATTAAAATGTCTTGAGGGTAATTTTATTTTTATTTATTTATTTTATTATTATAGGACAGAGTGAAACTTAAGTTGTTTTTTATTATCAGTGTGGATATGAACAGGATGAAATCTGCATTTTTAGGTTATCTTTTTGATGCAGATCTACAATTCATTAGGGATAGGCAGTGGTGTGCATCAATAACATAACCCTTCTAATACAGTTTCACCCTGTTGTATTGTTATTTTTTAGAAAGCCTTTGGCATTTTAAAATTTTAATTTTTAAATTAATTTATAATTTACAATATTATATAATTTATGTAGCTAGTGTATCATGTTATGATGAATTAATGCAAGAAATGTTCACATTACGAGTTCATATAGTATCAGTATCTGGAGATATTCCTGCCCTATCCAAAGTAATGTGTGTATCTGGTCACAATGCCTATAGTGGATGTCGATATTGTTACTTTTCTGGAATGTATTCTGAAAAATCAAGGCATGTTTATTTTCCGCTTTCACCACCACGAGGGTACAAAGGTACTATATATGATCCAAACCATTTACCAATGTATACCCATAACAGTTACCTTTGAGATATTACAAAAACAGAATGTAAAAGCAAAAATGATCGACATAAAATCGAACATGAAACTGGAGTGAATGGACATAGCATCTTATTTGAATTAAGTTCAATTGACTTTCCAGCATCATTCCTAGTGGATATAATGTATGCTCTTTTTGAAAATGTTGCGCAACATATGTTGTGCCATTTCATTGGTAAATTTTACAATAATGAAAACCTTAATAATACTGAATACAAAATTTCAACACACAACTGGGATAAGATTAGAAAGATAATAGAGAATAATCGAAAAATGATGCTATTAGAATTCGGAAGACCACTAATTAACATCTGAAAATATTATAATAGTTTTAAAGCCGAAGATTGGTATAATTAGACAGTCTTGTATTCACTTCCGCTTCTTCAGATTCATCTTCTGGCAAGGTATATATCAACTTTTATTTATAGATGTCTGACTCGATGAATAGTATCTTCGAATATTCATTTAATATTTGAATGTTCGAATATATAAGGAGTTAATTTTTCATTTTGCATTATCCACCGACCTATTTTTTTTCAAATTTCCAATTTTTTTTTAAGCCACAATTGTGCCAATTATTCTATTTTGCTATTTAAATTTTTCAAAAAATTAATCCGGTATTACTCGATAGTGCCCTATTTTCCTGAAAGTATCTGATAGAACTGACAGACAAGAAATTTGTCTGCCAACCCAATTTTCTGATTCCATGTTATAAAAAGCGAAAAATAACTTTTTGCGACCTTAGATGTGAACATGAGCCTATTAGTTCACTGTAGATTAAAAAAAAATAAATCTGACCACTGACCGGAAATCCGTATATTGCAAAACGCAAAATCAACTTTGCATGTCTAATTGTTTCACTAAATGAATACTCAAATATTAGCAATTAATTTAATTTCATAAAATTATTTTAATTTATTATTTGTTTTGAATAAATACTTTATAATTATTAATATCTAATGAATGTTCAGCGAATATTCGAATATTTACTCCAAATTTTTGAATAAATATTCGAATACTAAAAAGATAAGACAAATGAAAATTCGAATAGTTATTTTTAATCGAGTCAAACTTCTATTACTGTATTTATTTTATATATACCTTTTTTATTAATTTTTGATATTTTAAAATTTACAGACATATAAACGGATGGGCAAAATTCGTTAAAGCAACTCAGCTATGCCTTGAGCTGATTATTTCTAATGAGGAGCTTAAAGAAATTAAAAAGTTATTTATCGATTTCATTAATTACTATGAGCGGTAAATTTTATTTATAAATATGCTATAACTAAAATATATTGAGGTTTTTGCTTTGAAAAAACCTTACGAGGTGTAGTAATTACTATGTTCATAAGATCATTTCGAAGCAAAACTCCAATATTCTTTTGATATATTTGGTTATTTACAAATACTTGAGATCGTTGTATACATCATAAATTTTTTTTTTGATATTATATATAATTTAGAGAATTTTATCAAAAAGATCCTAATCGTCTTTCAGCAACTCTCATTAGCTTCCACTATCTTTTACATATTTCTGATTCGATTTTTGAAACTGGTCCTCTGTGGTCGACATGGCAATTTCCGATGGAAAGGCTGTGCAGAATGCTAATACCTTTAGTTTATTTGTGACAAAATCCTTATATAAATTTAACAAAGCAAGTAACTACAAAGACACAATTTATACATTTGCAATTTCATAGCAAATATAATCAGGAAATTTTCAGAATGGCTTCTGAAAAGTCACAGATTTAGTCATTTAAGCATTTTTTAACCTTCCCAATATTGAAGAAAAAATATATTCATTGTTTGAAGAACATATAATGACGAAAACTGAGATCCGTAAGATTAAGCAATATTATGTGACTGTATTTGATTTAAATATAGCTTGCATTAAAGTATTATTTAGGATTTGTTATTTAGAATTCTACTAAAATGCACCTAACATTATATTAAAAACTGGCTAATTAATCAGTGTGAGGTATTTTAAGCAAAAATGATCTACACCTCAACCCTAATCCTAACTATAAGTGCTAACTCTAATGCTTATAATATATGCAAACACCATAGGTGTGTTGTATAATAATTGATACTTTAAATGTTAATTTTAAAATATTTTTTTTAGATAACTAATAACAAAATCCTAACGTTGGAAAATTACAAACCAAATTTGAAGTGGTAATTGGCTCACAATTTGCTAACCGTAAGGGAGATATCTCACGAAATAATTATTCAATTGTGGTGAGTTAAATTTATTATGTCTTGTAAAGTTAAAATATAAGTATTGTAAATATTTAATAATTATGTAGGCAAAGCTTCTAGTTGACAAGAACGCATACCGCCCAAAGGCGCCTATTAAATTTGAAGAATGGGAGTTTTATGGCCAGGTTTTATTCTATTTTACACACGAATATGAGGGTCAGATATCAAAGCTTGCTTATGTGCATTGGATCAGAAGTCCAGAAGTTTATGTAAATAATGTACAATGTTTTCATAACTTTGGCGAAATAGGAGTTATCAATATTACTGCTATAGACTGTTGTGTTGGATTTTTAAGGTTGCAACAAATAAATACGTTATGTTGATAGAGAAAATCGGGTTACATTCTGATAAAATTCAAATATTTAGTTTTATCTTATAATATATAAAATGACAGAGATAAAATTAATAATTTTAAATTAAAAATTTTCCTGAATATTTCCAAAATTTTCTTAATATTTTCAAAAATTTATTTTAAATCCTGGTACTTCTGAATTTTAACTAATTTAAAAAAAATTTCCAAACAATTTCCAGAACAATATTGATATTGAAGCCTATGTTTTAGAGTATATAAATTTCAGTTCAGAATACAACCAAAATAGATTCAACCTACCCAGAATATAATCTGAATATGTTTATTAAATTTTTTTTATAGGGAATCAAATTTGTCACAGCAGATCCTCGATTTTGATTGGTTAACAGTGACTAGGGTAAAATTGCCACTCAAAAAAGTTTCAAAAACCATGTGATATTGTTAATTTATCACATGATAATAATAATATTTATAAAATATTAGTTGTTTTAGTAAGTGATTTTTTTCTTCAATTCTTCAGTATGAAAAGTGATCGTTGCAATCTAGACAAACCAAGTGATTTTTTTAAAGATATAAAATTAAATAAACACAATATTCTAAAAATGTACATTAATTGCCATAACCAAATTTTAACTAATAATAAATAGAAAAAGAATGAAATCGAATAAAATTATAAAAACTAATCAGAAATGCATTTATACCAAAAAGCATTGTAGATTTTATTTTTAATGCTTTTCAGAAAAACTATAATTCTGATTATTTATTTGAACAAAAAGTTTTATAATTCTGAATCCAGAACACAACAAAAAAAATTGTTGAAGAAAACATAATGAATCCAAATAGTAACAAATGCTCGATAGTATTAATAAAAACTTTAAGCCATTGCATAAATTGGAGAAAGATTATAATCATTTTTAAAAGGCAATAGAATATTTCAAATATTTAAAAATACCTTAATCATAGTACAGTTAACTCTGGGTATAACGAACCTTTCTATAATGAACTCTGGATATTATGAACTCCAAATTTTGAAATTTCATAATAGTTTAGTATAAAAAGTAGCATGGGTTCTTAAAAAAACATAATTTTATATAATGACTTTTTTTCTTCCAAAATCTTCAGTTTGTTATAGAAAGAGTTGCCTGTACTTTCTGGTTATAATAAATATTACGTTTATTGAGTTTATTTGAAATAAAAAAATTGCTTATCTTGTTAGTTTATAATTTTTTTTCATTTGTATTTTTTGTAGTTATATAATTATTAGTGCCTGATATATTTGTTACGTGATGTTTGAAACTTTTTTAAGTAGTGATTTTACCCTGGTCATTAACAATTGCACATCTACAAAATTTTGGCCTGCATTACATAATTGTTTACTAATTTTACTCATAATTAACTTTTTGAATTTTTGGAAAATAATTCTGTATTATGGTAAACTTTGCCCAATATGGCACATTTTTTATATAATAAAAGGTAAAAATCACATGCATAATATAACTACCAACCCAAAATCGATAAATTTTTGGAGAATTTACAGATAAGGACCCAAAAATGAAAATAATTACAAATAAGGATCTAAAATGAAATAATTACAAATAAAGGCCCAATATTTGAAAATTATCACAATTAAGGACCTAAATATACCATCAAAATTGTTAGCCAATTAAAACATAATGGCATTCTAATTAATTGCCTCATTTCGTGAATAAATAGGTGTTTTAGATTTATTATTTATTAGTCAGAATTAAAAGAAAATATAAAAATCTAACCAACCAAACAGATTTTTGAGCAATATAAAAATTAATTGTGTGACCTAATAGCTTTTGGTGTCTTGGGCCCTACTTAAAATGGATACAATTTAAATATCACAAGGTCAAAGTACTGCTATTTATGAATGCTTCTATAGAAATTAAACAAGTCAGATTATGAGGAATTAGCCTTATATATGAATGTAGCCACGTTTGCATTTGTTATCTAAAATAGAAAAGGGTATGAACTGGTTTGATTTGTAAAACAAATACTCTATTGTTTGTTTGTTTTGAACTTATAAGAAAATAGAAGAAAATTTGACAAAATAACTATCTGGGCCGAATGAACATTTTTTATATTAGTAAACTCATATTGATATGTAATTTTGAATTTGACATAGTTTTTGTTATAACAGACCAGTTTTTAAGAAATATATCAAGAATTTCAATGGAATAAATTTACAGTATAAATAATTGGTTGATGAATTAAATATACATTTTTATTGTGCATTTGAATTTATATTGGAATTACTAATAAATTATGAATAAATATATAAGTCGCACCCTGCGATATGCTTATATATCGCATGTATATACAAATTATAAATTGTCAACTTAAAATAATAAAAGAACTTAGATGTTTAGTTAGGATTAGAGTTAGATAGGATTAGGGTATAAAAGAGATCTTATAGTAAAAGTTCACAAGGAATTTTTATTGTTATAGCATGAAAGATAGTTTTATATATGAAATTTTAGAATCAAATATAGTATACCAGACTAAGAATGGCTCTGAAAGTGGGTACTTTCAGTATTTACCAAAATCATAAGTCTACCAAAAGTACTTTCAAACAGAATCTGGTTTACTGAAATATTTGAAACTCGAAAGTTCTACCCAAACTTAAAAGTCCTACCAAAACTCAAAGTCCTACCAAAACTCTAAAGTTTTACCAAAACTCAAAAGTCCTACCAAAACTCATAAGTCTTACTAAAATTTA